TGTATATCAAGCGGAGAGCAGGAGTCGTGAGTAATCGACTGACGACATTGTACTTTTTACGCCCGAAGAGCTGTCGGCGGGAATTAAGGATTTATATGTAGGGGGATAGTATTTAGTACGTTAAATTAAGGAACTAAAGCGGCTAACGGAATCTACACCGTTGTTTATGGTGTGTAGAGGTTTCTGTGTTAGGGGAGGGGAGGAAACTGGGTGAGGCTGTCGGCGTTTATCAGAGATAAGGTACATGGAGTGATAATTGCTGTTATTTGCACTGAGCGAACGACTGTCACTGGGACGTGGAGGCGACATTCGATCGCCACCTGTACTTACTTATTTGTACTTAGTACGGCTGCGATCATGACTGATCTAGCCGGCCTCAGTTATGTCCCTTATGGTGCTTCTCCACGCGCGACGGTCCTTGGCCGCAGACCTGGACAGTTGGAGCCATTCTCTTCGCCAGCGCCTGAGACCAAATACCCCAGGTCCAAGAACTAATTTCATGTCCTGACGGACTGAGTCGAGCCAAAGTTTTGAGTTGACCCCTCGATGATCGCCACCTGGCGTAGGGGTCGGCCACGGAAATGCAAGGGCTTGTGTCAATGTCTTCTGACACACTGAATTCGCTGGCCAAGGGTATATGTTGGCTGCATGTCGTAGGCGTCAAACAAAGGTATCGTGTCACACCAACTACTCCGCACAGTAGTATTAACAGTTTATTTAAAAAATAAGTATCTAATTAATGGAAATCTTGTGCCGTTCACAGTGTTGACCAAGTTTATAGTTTCCATAGATCAACAGGTATACCGTTGACCAGCTGGAAGAAGAAAAACGGTCGGCTGGCAAGGCTCGAAAGGTCCAGCAGTTTCAAATAACCGCCAGGACAGTACCCCCAGTAGAGTCAGCAGCGACAACTTGTTCTACTGCTACTGTAATGGTATCTGTGCAAAGAAATGTCGCAAGCCTGTTCCACATGTAAGTGCAATGCTGAACACGAGGATCGAAATAAAATATTAGTTGGCGGCCTTGAAAACAAACTTACAATAAAAATCAACAGGTCAATCATCAGACAAAAATGAAACTCACCTTCGTGGATAGCCGCAATGTGTTTTTTCAAGGTTGAACTCTGGGCAAAGGCTCTCCCACAAAATTCACACACAAATTTACGCAGTTCTAGAACCAAAATATAGGGATTCAATGAATAAAAGACAAAAACTATATTGCCTTGCATTTTTACTAATGACATATTTTTCACACTAAATTCTCGAATTAACAATCAGACATTTCATGTTAAAAATAGTATTTGCCTTCCCCGGCTTTCCCGTTCATATAGACATAATTCGACGTGTGGCCGACGAATTCACCGAACGGACCGGTCAAGACGGCGTGGTTTTATGAGCCCAAAACCTCCATGGTGTTTGCACTGGCTTGATCTCATCGTACTTTCAATATTCTCCACTATGGGTTAGCGTACTAGTAGTTAAGGTGGAACCCTCGAATGAAATAACTTCGGAGAATTTACACTTTTGAGGTGTCCTGGCCGGTCCTAATGGAACAAGTCGTGGAGAACACTTCTTCCTGCGACGCAGGTATGAATAAAGCTTCTGCGGTAGAAAAAGTAAAAAACACTGTACGGTCCTGGAGAGGAGCAAATCAGCAAACGCCTCTTCGAGGCTCCTTTCATAAAAATACACAGCTGATAAAGACTGGCAAAAACGGCAGTTGAGCCCTTTATCCGTTTTAGTTTGCTCATACGCTTGAATATAGCATGTGGCTTGGAAGGTCACCCACAGACGATCCAATTCAGACTTCAAAGTCAGCCCAATGTGTGCTTCTGCGGAGTGCCGAATAGGTAGTTTGGTCGGAGTCGGTGATTTCTTCACTACTGCGTCCACAGGATTGGGGCCGTCCTCGTTGATTATGGGGACATCCTTGTGTATAGGATGAGTAGGACTTGTGACTGACACGGTGTGAGTCTGTGACCAGCCGCGTCACTAATATTCTACGCACATACGCGCAATACTGAATGCGGAATCTGAGATTGCACGTTGTTTGACGGCCT